GAATGATACAGAAGGTAAAGATTTTTATAGGAAAAAAAAAATTACCATCTATAATGTCACTTCCCCCTCATTGTCATTACAGTCTCATTTCCTAATTGCATGCTGAGAAATACAACCAGTTCCCATAATGCTTTAGTGGCGGGCGGATGGCAGGGGGAGGGTAGAGTCCCTTGTTTTAGTTTTAAAAATAGTCAATTCTCCTGTCCTAAGAGAGCACGTTACCTTTAAGAGCCTTGTAACTGACATGATGGAAGAATGCGGGCAGGCAGGGTGTCAAAGCTGCAGCTTTTCAATCACCCACATTAATATGATTCAATTTATGCTTATGTCATAGGTTTAGACATTGCACAGTGCTGTAAGCAAGGAACGGGCTTGAATAAAACACAGTGAAGAAAGCAGATGGTATGCTATCAAAACCCTTCAAGCCTAAAATAACCTTTCCCAAGTAAGGAGGCTAGTTAATTAGAACCAGGATATATTTACTCTATTCTGAATATCTCAATGTAAATAAAAATCAAAATGACACTACTGTAATGTTGGACCAAATGATGAAATTTCATCTATTCTATTTTTCTTTAATAGGTTTCTAATCAAAGTTTTCATTAAACAGTTTCATAAAATTCCACAGAGGGATTTATTTACAGGGACTCATTAGAGATGGGAAAGCCTTATTTTTATTGTTCAATTAAATGTACTAGTTCATGGACAACATTCTAAGAGGGGTGGGGTTGTCCTGGGCAGTTGAGCAAGCTTCTCCACAGAGTAGAGTTCATTTTTAGAGATGAACCCAGGGAAATGCAGGTAACCTGAATAATAAAGCAAAACAAACAAACAAACAAAAAACCAATCATGGTGACCCCTGTGTGCTGGAGCAGATCTGTGTTCTCTAGGGTCTTCAAATGGCTGAATTTAGTCTGACTAGACCAGAGGATGTACACTGGTACAGATAGGAACTGGAAATACAGGGAATCCAGGGCGGATGATCCCTTCAGGACCAGTGGTGTGAGTGGCGATACTGGGAGGGCAGAGGGAGAGTGGGTTGGAAAGAGGGAACTGATTACAAGGAACTATATGTGACCTCCTCCCTGGGGGACGGACAACAGAAAAGTGGGTGAAGGGAGACGTCGGACAGGGCAAGATATGACAAAATAATAATTTATAAATTATGAAGGGCTCATGAGGGAGGGGGGAGCGGGGAGGGAAGGGGAAAATGAGGACCTAATGCTGGGGGCTTAAGTGGAGAGGAAATGTTTTGAGAATGATGAGGGCAATGAATGTACAAATGCGCTTTACACAATTGATGTGTGTATGGATTGTGATAAGAGTTGTATGAGCCCCTAATAAAATGATTAAAAAAAAGGGCTGATTTTTTGAAAATAGGTCACCAGGTCTTTCTATGTTCGTCACTGTTTGTGCCAACCAGGGATGCCCAAGCTATGCAGTCCAGAGTGCCAATGTGAGGCCATCCCTGTCCAAGAGAGGAAGACCAGTTCTAGTTCCAAAGTCACTGCCTGAGTCTCTCCCAGTTCTGACACTAGCCTAGAGCCATAGTCCATTGGCAGAGAATGGATCAAGCCATTTACACCACTCCCCCAAAGGGTAAGGCCTGTAGGTACAGACTCAGAGCAGAACAAACTCAAGAAAGACCAATAGGCAGCCCACATGAAGGAAGCCATTAGCTAACACAGGGAGTCAAGATAGGAATTCTTACAAACCTAGACATTTCCAACCATTTCCTAATAAAACCTCTTTTTCTATCCTTAAAAACCAGATCAAACCCTGCCTGTTCCATGAAGCTTTCCCTGCCTGACCTACCCCTGCCCCTCCACCCCCGCCCTGCTCTGCCCACTGCTGAAGTCCTACAGCACTTGCTGTCTGGACCCCTCGCAGAATACTTAATCATTGACTTTCTGGAAATGTTAGTTAACCTTTTAGGTGCATTAATTGTGTCTTCTCCAATTAGAGTTTTAATCCTCAAATCGAGCAAGAGTCATGTTTTGTTTATCTTTTGAGCACCCCCCCCCAACTCCTCCTCCATACTCCTAATTTAATTGAAGAAATCAAATATATATATATTCGTTAATAAAAGAAACATTATTCAATCACAGGAAAGCAGACACTGTCCTTTTGAGAAGGACCTTGGAGGTATTTTATGGCAATTTATGAATTTCATGTGTCAAAGGTGTCGCTGCTAAATGCTATAAACTCTTTGCCATCAGCTCTACTATTCATCCACCTGGTGATATGGCTAATAAAATTTGATTTTTACAGCCTAGGCATACTGTTACTTCAATTACATTTGACCAATTACTGAAGTCACCAAATGTGTGGTACAGAATATATACTGTGTAGAAAATTCATCTGCGGGCCCCCTGGCACCCGCAGTAATCTGACAGAAGTGTTTCAGTCATCTGGCAGTGTTTAATATTAGGAACATTTGTTTAATGCTAGTCACTAATTAAATTTATGTTCTTCCACCAACTGTTAGTTGGTTGGAGAAACTCAACCCCACATTTTCACAAACTCTTTAACCCCATTTGATTTCAGCTACAACCAGTTGGAGGCTCAAAGGGGTATACTCTGGAAATTTAGATGTGTGACCGAAAGTGGAAGGTGGGGGAGGAGGTGGGGGAAAGTGTTCAAATCAGGTCAAAAAAAGCTATTTTGTTCACTTAAAAGGAAACACTTTGAGAATGTGAAGTACAAGCTTCACTAAAAAGAAAAGGGGAAAAAAAAATCAAATGTGCTAATTATTGAACTAGCCAGCTAGAAGCTCTTTAAAGGTACCTTTATTCCAAAAGAAAGCTTAAGAGACTGGAGGAGAAAAACAGCATTAAAATTAGCCGTACCAGAAGAAAGTTCAGAGAAACATTCAAAAGTCAGATGCCTGTGTTTGTGAGAACGTTTGAAACTAATTTAGTAACTCCTCACCATTGTGATCACTGTTAAATTGGAACTTCTTTGTATTACCAATTCTAGATTGCAACAGCTTTGAAACTCAATGACTAATAACTCTTAAATTAGCCAAAAAGGTTAAAACATTTTTTGCATTACATTACATTGTGAAATTCTAATTTTGAGTACTCTCTGATGAGGGAAAGCATTCTTTTAGTTTGTGTCAGGAATTCAGAGCTCTGTTAAGCAGCAAACAAGATGAAGGCTGTTGGAGTCGAGGGTGCAGAAGAAACACTCAAAATAGACCCATGAAGAAGGGAGGGTCTAGAAATGCTACTCTAAGAAGAGAGGTTTGGTTTGTTTTTCAATGGATACATTCATCTACTTGATTACAAGTGGTATGTGAATATTCAAAATATGGCAATAAATATTTCTTTGAAGATGGAAAACATAATAACTGTATGAGCACAACTATTCCCATACTGAGTGGCAGCATTTGTGAAACCAGAGTTGTGAAAACATCAGAAAAGAAAGTTGGGGAGTGAAAAACAACAGAATTGTCATGGCCTTTAGGGACCCAAACCTTGGGTCTTTTGTTCCCCTTCTTCCTTCTCTTCTGCTCTATCAGACAGCATCCTCTCCCATCCCTCCATCCTCACCTCTCCTCTGCCCACAAGCCAATTTATAACATACCTTCATCAGTAGCCACAGAGCTACTGGAGTCATGAATAAAACTTGGGAGGACACCATGGACCTCGAAAACCATGTCCAGGTCTGCAGTGGTTAATCAGAGGGTTCTGATTAATCTGCAAACTGCAGGTCCTTGGGGAAACATCAGCCAACAGAATCAAGGAATGCTTCAAATGAAGGGGACCCTAGGTCTCTCTGTAGGCAAGGGAATCTCAATGTCTTCTCTACCCAGGCACCTAGGAGGCACGGAATGTGATTTGGTACACTCTACAGTGGTAATCCTCAGAGAAGGGGTGGAGTGAGAGTATAGGGATTGGTTTGATGAAGCACCCCCAGGGCGTTCCCCTCCATCCCACTTCCAACCGATGATGTGATCCCATCTCTTCAAGGTACACATGAGAAAGTAAAGATGTGAGATGACAGCTATGTCGACTTGCCTCCTTAGTCACTACACCAGGCAAGATTTCTCAAACCGGTGATATCTGATATCTCCTCCCTTTCCCCATCTCTCTATTAAGGCAGATGACCATTCAGCTAGACAAAGATGCAGATAAAGATAGATAACACATAAAGGCGCTCTTGTGATGCGGTGGGTTACACACTGAAGTGCTAACCCACAAGGTCAGTGGTTCCAACTTATCAGCTGCTCTGAGAAACAGAAGGCTTTCCACTCCCATGAAGAGTTCAAGTACTACCCTGCCCTATAGGGTTGAGTTGGACTCAGCATGATGGCAGCAAGTTTGGTTTATCTTTAGTAAGTTCCATCTTTGGTAAAGACTATCTAAAATAATTTGCTATCATGTTGATTATAACTCAAGGCAAACTGTGTATGTGTGGTGTGTGTACATACAAGTTGATCCTAACTCTCTCTCTCTCTCTCTCTCTCTCTCTCTCTCTCTCTCTATATATATATATATATATATATATATATATATTTGAAAAAAATCTAGGAGCATACCAGTAGACTGGGCCACTTATCTACCTACCCCCCAACCTAGCTGCTTTGCAGTGTGGAAATGGTCCCAAGTAGGCATTTTTACAGGCTCTTATAACACAGAACGGGACTGATCGGTTTTAAAAAAAATGAGTATCTCAACAGTCAAAGCTTTTTAAAAAATGGCTAACATGAAAGCATCCTGTCCTAAAGTCCAATTTCAAGGTCGACCTAGCAACTTCGGATTCTATAGTGAACACCAGACTCTAAATAATCACCTTTTAGCCATGGTAAACAGAAACTGCCAAGAAGGCAAGGCCACCTTATACTGCAATCATCTGGCGGCTGGGGAGCAGGGGCAGGGTGGCATACTCTGCTTCTCAGAATGGGCCTGGTTCCCCATCGCTGCTCTTCACCAGAACCGAAAGCAACTACACACACACAGGTTTCATACAGGAGCAAGAAAAAAAAAAGGACTCACCAAACTCATCACATATACTCTCATTTTCTATGAGCGTTGGGTGCTCAAAGGTGTCCCGGCAGTACAGGATCTGAGGCTTTTTGCTGACCACGGCGATGCCGCCCAGGGCTAATGCAAACTGGTCCGTCAGGATGGACGAAGGCTTATCCTGGATGCGTTTCAGCATGGAGCGGTACCGGCAGTACTGAGGGTAGCTGAGCACTATCACGTTCGTTTCTTCCTCGTCCTCCCCTAGATGAACAAGAAAGCATTTCCGTGAGCCTCTTCCCTCCAACAGCAAACTTCCTTAACCATGGCCTCCTTCCAATGATTATTTTTCATTTGGTATGAACAACGCCATTTTCAAAAAAAGACTCTTAGACTAGTTCATCGGGATCACCACCTGGCTAATGCCTCCCGGCCCAACGTCCACCATCCACTTTCATAAGAACATGCCTCCGGCTACCTTACCTGCGGCCAGCACCGCTTTGCAGCCAGGAGAGAGAGCTGGGTGGCCCCGCTGGCAGAGGAGGCAATAGATAAAGGAGCAGGGAAGCAGAGAACCGGTTTTGAAAGAATCTGATATAGTTTGTAAGCATCCTTGAAGGAAAAATCCGAACTGTTAGTTTCTTGACATTAATGGTGTTGCTCTTATTGTCAATGATATCATTTTGGCTGTGCTTGGGGTCTCTAAAGGGAGATGTCCAAGTGACGTCACCATCTATCCCAGTGGCCACTGGTAGCCTTCAACATGTATTTTCTATTCTTCTTGTGGGCATGCGGAAAGACCCTATTGCCCAGCCACTGGAGGAGAGTGCCAGTAGGACTTGTTCTGACCAAAATACGTGCCAGAAATGGGTGGCCCCCATAGGAGCAGAGGCGTATAACTATATTCTCTTGTTTCCTATGCTCTGGAGAGCTGGAATATTCCAGACAGTGGCTGTTCTGTCAAGATGGGGGTTGGCGTGGAGTTATGTGGAGCAGAGACCAGAGATGATTCAAAATGGACATTTGATTTATGTAGAAAATAAAACCTTTGTTGTTTTCGGTGACCACGATTTAAGGGTCATTTGTTATTGCAGCATGCTCTATTCTAACTTGATGGATAACATCTCTCTTCCTCCCTCTCTGTACCCTTACCCCCTATCTTCCAATGCTCTTCAAATCCATCTGGTAACTTGGCACATCTCAGGAGCACCATGCTGTGAGGACTCCCCAAGTGTCTTTCTGAGCGAGCTCCATCAGAACCAGCTGAACTCAGGAGAATATGGCAGGAGCAATGCTCTTTAAAGGAGCCTTCCTTACCATGATCTGAGTGCTTATGGACACCTTCACTTTCGTCTGTTCTCATTTGTAAAAAGCAGATTCTACATCTCAAGCCTGAGAAATGGCAAAAACCTGCCCCCACCCCCCTCTCAGGGCTCTGCCTCCCACATGCCACCAAGCTGAATTTAGGCTCCTTGACCCAGGTTGCCATCACTCTCTCCAACCACACCATCAGGACAGTTGTAAGTGATTCCCAGACATGTCACTTGCTTATCCAAAGGGAAAACACTCAGTATTTCCAGCCCTTACCATGCTGCCGGGAATTGCGCGAGACAGTTGTTAAGGATACCGACATTACCATGGCCATCTGGTAACCGGTGGGAGATGGATGAGCAAGGGCAGAACGTAGTGACAGGACACAACCAGCACCAATGGAAGGTGTGCACACGACCTTCTCCAGTAGGAGGCCCGTACCCAGATGTATCTCTCATTGGGCCCACCTAGTTCCTCAGGGTGGAGGCTCTCCTCAAATAGACAAGTTCTGCTGCTTGTGAGAAAACGTCTTTTAGAAATGTCCATTTCTCAGACACCTGCTTAGCTGTGGGTCACCACTTCGTCAGCTGGCACAAGCAATTAAAAGGAAATGATGTATTTCTATTTTCATTGAAGGCAAGTCTCCAAGTGAGAAGTTATTTGGTATATATATATACATCCCCAGACATGTTGATATATATCCCCAGACATGCCGATTGGAGATTTTATATACATATATTGCGACATTCCAAGACATCAGATCACCTTTTAAGTTCAAACCAGTGCTTTCTATAGAGTTAAAGCCCAACATATTTTAACGGAAAATGTTCATCAAACACTGTCAGAACTTTACAGCAGCTCAGCGATATTTGAAGAAGCAGTCCCCAGCCGACCAATGGTACGATTATGTGCTATTTGTCCATGGATGAGAGCTCCCAGGGCTCACTCCATTTCATCATGCTTGGCACCTAATGTAGTAAATACTATGAATCTATGAATGTAGTAAATACTAAGCAAAAGCCTGTGGGCAGATACATTCTATCTTGGGTGTGCTGTGGTCTTCTTGCATGGGAGGGAAAGTAGCTTCAAATTCCTTCTGTGCTTTTCTGATTAAACAAGACAGATAGAAAGGAAGCTTCGGAGTTAGATTCCCTGGAGAAGAAACCCCCTGGGCTCTGGGGACCACGCAACTTGCTTCCTATTCCTCAACCCTCCTGCTGTTTTTCGCTGACCATTTTGCTTGATGAAACCACTTCTATCGTCTTTTTAATTCTCTGGCGATCTTCTACGCTGAAGAAATGGACTCAATGGCAGTGACTTTTTGAGTTTGTAGCAATTTATTAAGCCTGAGTCCTGTCCTAAATGTTTTTTTTTAATTTCGTGATTCCTGAATGTTATGCATATATTTTAATTTCTTGATTCCATTGTTAAGTTTATACTTCTTATACTTCTATTCTTAACCGGTAGGAGCTAGAACAGAGTCCAGAGTCAACGTCTGTGTTCCTGTTACTTTCCCAGGACTGTCCTGAGTAGAACAGAGAATAACCAGAAGTCCGTTCTGATGCACAGCGACCCCACAGGACAGAGTTAGAACTGCGCCTGTGGGTTTCTGAAACAAATCTATAGGGGAGCAGAGAGCCTCATCTGTCAGGATCCTACAAAGTAGTTTGAGCTGCCAACTTTGAGGTGAGCTGCCGAACACCTAATCCACAGTGCCACCAGGGCTTCATACTACAGGACATTTTAAAAACCTCTGAACCAAAGCTATGCTGATTGGGGGTCTGTTTTCTTATTTAGAAAGTAGAATAAAAAACAAAAACAAATCTCACCATAATCGAATTGATTCAGACCCATAGTGTTCCTGTAGGACAGGGTACCACTGCCACTTTGGGGTTCTGAAGATGTAACTCTTTTCAGCAGCAGAAAGTCTCATCTGCTCTCTCCCGTGGAGCAGCTGGTGGTTTCGAACTGATGAACCTTGACGTTGGCTGGTTAGCTGCCCAATTTGTAACCCACTACACCACAAGGTCTATGTAGATTACTGCAAACTAGGTTCAGGTGCAGAAATCAAGGTGTGGTGGGTGGTTTTGAACTGCTGACCTTGTGGTTAGCACTCCAACACAAAACCTACTATGCCACAGAACACTAAAATTTACAAAGCTCATTCACATCCATTATCTTTTCTGTTCCTCATAATAATCCAATAATCTCTCAAGAGTTAGCAATGCAGTCCAGGTGATGATAAAAGCAGACCTAGCGTGAAGGTAAGATCGAGAAGAACCAACACCCTCTCCAGGCCGGAGTGTCACTGAATGAAGGCACTGAAGCCTTACTTGCAGTTGAGGCTAAGGTGTTCATGTTTTCCTGAAGTCAAAGTGCTCATCTGAATACGAAAGAAAGGTGTCCATAACCAAACATGACGATGATTTGGAAAGAACACGACATCTCGAAAACCCTGTGATCCTCTCACTTTCTCCCAACTTCCTCCTGACACTGCTATGCAAAATATTAAAGGTTTCAATGGCTACCTTGTAGTTTGCCCTACCTATCCTTGGACGCAATCAAAGCTAAACAAGCATTTCAAGAATATTTATATAATATAGATACATAGATAACTCCTTAGTTGCTTCTTCCCTCCTTACAAATTTCGTATTCACTAATCTATAGGAAACAACATTCTTAAACAGAGTCACCCATGCAATAAATGGTCTGAAGGACATTTCCCCTTTCCAATTACAAATAGGTCTAGCAGATAAATCTATGAATGAATAGTGAATGGACACACTGCCCATTTATTTAGCGATAGACAGACAAGGTACTCCTGGAACCAAGATTTCGGTCAACCACACCCAGGAAGGACAAGAGATCAAAGTACCACTCTCAGGGGCGTCTGCCTAGCAGACAAAGTGGGTGGTAGTTGGTTGGGCTGTATATACATATACATATTACTTGGATTCTGTCAATAGAAAAGGATCAGAAAGAAATTGCTGGTGCCCAAGACTGAAATTTTAAACCATAATTATGATATTATATTAAAATGTCATCCCATTCCTCAGTGACCACCCCACCCCTTGCCCCCACCAAAAAAAGAAAAGAAAATGCGAACATGCTTATTTTAAAATAAATTAGTCCTAGGGAATAAGAGACTCAAAATTACTAAATCTCACTTGAACTCCTCTAAAAGAACTTTGTCTATTAAAAGTTAATACCTAAAGTACACTGCTTTTAATGCTCAACCAAAATTACTCTAATCCTGTGCTTATATCGTAATTACACGTTTTGTTAACCTCTCTCAATGTCAATTTTTCACTTATTTATATATTTTCAAAGTCCCAAACAGAATTCCACAGAGAAACTGTAATTATAACGTACAACTCCACCCAAGCTTTTCAAACGGTAACTGTAGACCATGGCTGCACTCCTCGGAGTTGGCTGGGGGGGTGGGGAGGGGAGGGGGGAGGGGGGAAGGGGGCAATCGCAGACATTCACTCTGAATAGCACATTGCTCAAGTTGTCTTTGTATAAAGAGAGATGCATGAAATAGCAAACACAATGAATTAATGGAGCATTGACTTTCAAATATCCATAATGCTATTTTTTAAACAGATAATGGTGGCCAAATGTGCAGAAGGCTGAAAACATAAATTCTGTGGGAGAAATGTGCTTTTATCGCTTTTACAACAATTTAGAAATGTAACTTTCTTTTTCGTTCTGGGGAGGAAGAAGGAAAGCTTGTTTCGGAAACATCACACTATTGTGCTGACTGAAAACCACGCTAATCTATTTCTAACATCAGTAAGCTTAAAAAAAAAAATCTTAAAAACCTTCACACCAGGATTTTATAGAGCCTGGTGGAAAAAGTATGCATGTTCCTTCCTGCACCTAATTACCTCAACTGAAAAATCTGCCAAGTATTTTGCCCTTTAGTTCTCTAAATCATAGCAGGGCAAACG